TGTAAGAATAAGATCTTTTTAAATATCACCAGTTGTGAAATTACTTAATGTGCAAAATCATTTTATTACAGATTTCTCTATATTGTGTACATAATATATTTGTTCAAAATAACGATTCATTCGCTAAAAGTATAAATGTGAAATTAAATGAAATTGCATTTGATAATTACAATGTTCTAGTTTATCTATAATTTCTGAAATTGGGTTGTTGCAATTGCATATCATTTACTTTAGTTAATAATCTTTCAGGTAATTCAGGAAGAAAGTTTTCTTTTCGTGTAACAGTCTTTGTGTAACATTGTGAACAAAAAGTGGCATTATATTTCATAACTCTCTTTGCTAATTAAGCATCGAAAGTCAGCATTATTTATTATAATTTCCATTGGTGATATATGTACGCTTAGTGTGTAATGTTTATATGCAAATATAGCGTTTTATTAATTATTAGCGTATTAAATGTTTGGATTTATGTAAGCTGTAGGTATTATGTTAAAAATAATGTCATATTGATGAGAAATGATTGTGATGTTGAAAAGAATGTTGATTATGATGTGAATTGTTGTTGGACACATTGTATCCGGAATAAAGCTCGGAACTGCAGCTATCCCTGATGTCATCTTTCATTAGGAATTTCCATATTCTATTTTAAGGTGTTTTAGTCACGTGAGCAGCACTTGTTCAATTACAACATTCAAGGCCTAAAAGTTTTCTAAAGGTTTTATGTTAGACATGTGGAGGACATTTCCAAATTTGACGCATCAGTGACAAATATGATGTCCGATGCAATTCCTTAGTTTGACTTGTACCATATGTTCCCGAGTTTTTGTCAGGTGAAGAGTTGACTTGCGTTTGCATGTGTTTGTGACGAGTGCCACCGTTGGGGCGATACGCTCACCTTTTCGCGAAAACCTGGTATCATCATTATTTGATAGTGATCCATAAACACAAGTTCATGATATCGTCGGAGTCGTACTATCGACTCTGCTTTGTACCTATTGCTATTCGATGTGGTTTTGTCGCTTTATGTACATCATTATATTTTTGGACATACAGCAAGTGTGATTTAGATAAGTGATTGTTTTCTGTTTATAGTGGCGATATAAACACGAGTGAGTGAGTGAGTTTAACGGTTTAACGCCGCTTTTAACAGTATTCCAGTTATATCGCGGCGTGTCAGCTTAAAGTGGGAGGAAAGCCCAAAGTGATGCAGGTCTCAGACGTTTACCACTTCGGTGAAACCCACGAGCATTGGTATGGTGCTGACAAACCTAGAAACATAATCGGGGCGAACCGGGATTTGAACCCACAATCATAGGTCTCTGGCGTGCCAAAGGGACGCAACTCTGCACAGTGAATCGCGGCGCCTCAGACGACTGGGCCACCGGGCCACCTAAAGTACTTAGACAATATCTCCAACGTTTTTCGTGATAACCGGAATTTTTAACTCATTAAGCGGTTGATCTTTGGACGCGCCTTTTTCACAATTTCATTGATATGCCTTTTTCATGAACAATCGCTTTGAAGTGGAATACCCAAGACTTACTGTTTATGACTTCCTACTCCTTGAATGGGAGCTCCGTCCTTATAATTTCAGCCCAATACCGGTATCATATATTGAAGTATTGTCTGGAAAAATGGGTATCCTTCGATAATATCATTTATGTAAAGGACAAACAAAAGCTGGCCTAGGGCAGATCCCTGAGGTACCCCAGGGTGTACAGCTCTGAACTGTTTCCACTGATCACTACGGTTTGAACTTTGTTATCCAATTTCTCTGAAGAAATCAAAATCATATGTCAATATGAACTCTTCAAAAAAAGAAAAAAAAGAAACGTACGGATAGTATGTAGTTCCCTGAACCTGCCTTCACAAAAAAATCCGGTATATAAATTAGATATATGTTATTGGACAATGTTGGTGGCCTGACGCAGCCATTGTCGATTTGCAATGTCTTAAACGGCATTGTTTTCAAACTTGTTAAAAAATGTCATGGAGGAAAAAAGTAAAGAAAAATGCACGTGCAAGTTATGGCATTCTTAACTCGTGGTAGTGGGATGAACTCGATCGACGTGTACGTCAACGTCAGAACACGCCGCAGACTCCCACAAATGGCCACCGCGTTACAAGCAGAAAGGCGCAGAATTCCGCAGGACAGAATTCGTACACTTATCCAGTCATTGCCGATGAGTTGCAGAGCCGTGATTGCTGCCCGGGGCGGTCACACGAGATACTGAGTTCAGCGCAACCTTGTGGCCTTATGTGACATGACAATGAACAGTTTTCAATGCCTGTTTACAACCACAACATGTGACCATCGAGCTGCAAAATTTCATATTTGTATCTATGATATTAAATTAAATACACGAGCCAGCGCGCAGGCATTGTTTTTGCGGAAGTACTCAACTCAGCGCTAATAAGCAGTGCTAATTGGTGTGTGATTGGATTAATGTAAGGTTGGATTAAGGAGAGGACTCTCCTGTAAACCTGACAGAGTATATTTTCTTAAGATATAAATCCACCGATGCTTGAGAGGAGGGGGTGTCGCATTCATACTGAGTCGCGTTGTTGGCTAGGGGCCAGCGGTCGCATTCTTTTGGAGACGCATTTATTTCAAAATTTACAGTATATCAACCTTATTAGGTACGATACATTTTCTAAAAGCCTACCTGTGCGTTTCCTTTTTTGAAGAGTGTACATACCAGTGCCTCATAACGCCTGATATCCTTGTGAAGACTGAGAACATGAAAGTTTAATAATGTGTTTCTCTACTGACGATAATACATATTAATCATGTATTGTCTGATGAATCAATTGCTTACTAATGACAAACAGGTCTTCAGGTTACATGGTAGTGCAAATAAAAATGTTTCACGGTTGCACAGTTGCGTGGTGAAATTCGATTCAGATTTCATTTGCCTGAACAGGAAAAAGTCACTGGGGTCTAAGTCTGGTTCGAACAGTTAAATCGCCCACCCTACAGCCCAGACTAAGCCCCCGCTGACTATTTCCTGTTCCGGCAAATGAAATCTGCCCTACGTGGAAGACGCTTCCAGGATGACGAGGACATTAAGGCTGCCACAGAGGCGTGGGCCAATCTGCGGATATCTATGAAAGTGCAATTAAAAGCTTGAAGGACAAATAGAATAAGTGTATTGAGGTGAATGGAGATTATATTGAAAAGAAAGGTGCAAAAGATATTCTGCGACTTGGTCTGATTGAAGTTCCGAAACTTATTGAACGCCCCTCGTACGTAGCACATTGTGACGTCATGATTCTATCTTCTTACATATGTACCGTCAAACATTGTGACGTCATGCTTTATTTTCTTACATATGTATCGCCACACATTGTGACGTCATACTTCTATCTTCTTACATATGTACTATCACACATTGTGACGTCATGCTTCTATCTTCTTACATATGTACCGTCACACATTGTGACGTCATGCTTCTATCTTCTTACTTAAGTACCGTCACACATTGTGACGTCATGCTTCTATCGTCTTACATATGTACCATCACACATTGTGACGTCATGCTTCTATCTTCGTACATATGTAACGTCACACATTGTGACGACATGCTTCTATCTTCTTACATATGTACCGTCACACATTGTGACGACATTCTTCTATCTTCCTACGTGTGTAACATCACACATTGTGACAAAATTCTTTTATCTTCTTATACATTAAGCGTCACACATTGAGACGTCATGCTTCTGACATCTATCTTCTTACATATGTAGCGTCATCAATGTGACGTCATGTGTCATGGATCTAGCTTTTGACATGTGTTGCATCTCCACATTGAGTGGCATGCTTCAAAGATATACCGAGGAACAAGACAGATTATACCTATCATTTGATTTTGTCAAATTCTTAAAATATATCCTCATATTAGACAGCACAATGCAATGTCCTTCATATATTGGTATTGATCACTCTAGGCCAAGCAGGACAAAGAGACAACACATGTGAAAGTGCTACAGTAAAACTTTATTGCTCTTTGTCGATATTATCCTTTAAGGTAACCGCGTTGGCATCTTCTGTAATATCACGACACGATCCAGTATAACATTCTTACGAACTGATGCTGACATACTCGATATTGGATGAAGTCTGATAGTTGGTCAGAGAATGCGTGAGCTGGATTTATCGAAGCTTGTAACAACAGATACACCCTCCGTCTGTATCGTTTTTCCCGTCCATTTTTTCCCTTGAAAATAAGAGGAGCAAAAGAAACTATACCTCTCAGCTGATTATGTTTGATTTTCAATTGAAACATCATAATTAAGCGATATTATATCCAAAATGAACCGTCGCTAAGTCCACACTCAAGGAATCCTTCCTCATGGTTTTATATTAAAATGTAATTTGATTTAAACCTTTTAACAAGAGTTACGAAAAGATGACAAGTTCCCCTGCCTCCACAAATTCAAAAAACAAATCATATTACAGTAAACTACGTTTATAACGAACACGCTTATAACGAATTGACGGATATTACGAAATGTTTTTTGTCCCGTTCATTGGCTGTATATGAGCTGTATATATACGTATAACGAACTACGGTTATAACGAACTAAATCTGTGGTCCCTTTTAGTTAGTGTCGGAGTCGGAGTGCGAGAATGTCGGATTAACGGGACTAAATAACATTGAATCAATCGGTTCCCATCATTTGTGTCGGATAAAGCCGAGTGTCGGATTAACGAGTGTCGGATTAACGAGACTTGACTGTATATTATAACCGTAGTTTACTGTATTGTTTCTGCAAGTCCTACAAGAGTGTCCCGTCTAACTGGATGAGATTACAGTAAAGTACGGTTATAACGAACTCAAAGGGACTACTAATTTTAGTTCGTTATAACCGTAGTTCGTTATAAGCATATATACAGCATAACTACAGCAAATAGTCGGGGCCAAAAAGTAAGTTCGTTATATCCGTCAGTTCGTTATAAGCGTGTTCGTTATAACCGTAGTTTACTGTATTCCTATCAAAACTGTCCGTCTGTATAGAAGAGTAGTTATTGAGTAATCGAAACAATCCCGAGAAAATGATTCGGAACTTTGTATTTGTATATGTCAGATCCATTTTCACAAAGATATCAGTTGGGGGATATCACACATTTGGTGCATGGCACAAAGAAATGTGGCCAGACCCTCAAACTGCCGACATACCCTTCCCCATAGTAGAACAAAGCAAACTTAGATTTTCTTTATGTTTTTGTATCCAACTGGCTAGTAAATGATAGATGTAGTCAAATGTTTTTGTGTCAGATACTGTTTTGGGGTAAAAATGCACATTGTCAGTCCCTTTACATCCCAAATCATGCTTTGGACATAACATGTTCATAAAAAGTGTGGAATATAGGTATTGTTGTCATTCATTAGTTACCCCCTCCTGCTAGCGAGTCAACACGAGGCACGTTTACATATATCTACCGTCGTAACAATCGTTATATCAAGAGTCTAGAAGAGTCACAAGAGAAATGTCAACTGCTGTGTGATTTGGACATTTAGACATCATATACTTGATTATCTGAATATTTCATCACTTTGCTTTGATAAATCTAGCAGCAAGCAAGAGTTGAGCAAGGATTGTAGAAATGTACATATTTAAACGGACATGTTTCGCCTCTGATTGGTGTTGATGTTGTCGTATTGCAAGATATACACCAAGTTCCAAAACTGTTCAAACGGTTAGAGAGAGGTGTGGTGGGTCGGTGGAGAGTGCCCATGACTAATATGAAGACAGAGATCATATTAGATGATTAAATATTAGTTGAGATAATGATAATGGTATGAAAATTATTTGAACTCGCAAATCTTGTATCAACGACACACTGTTAACAGTTATATAGCATGAACTGACCATTGGTCAAGACCCAGCGTTACAGCTGCAAGTTGGACATCCACTGGCATCACTGGCGAATCCTTCATGACAGATCGTCCGGTCGCATTGCAGCGTTGGGCAAACAGATCTACACTGACACGTCCGACAACCATCCACAAACTTGAAGCCGAGCTGACACTGCGTGTTGCCGCAGTCGGGGGGAGGGGAGGGACAGACGGGGGCGGGTCCACATCTACACACTGGGCAGCCGTTGACCCTCACAAGGGAGGACCCGGCAAAACAGTCGAGGAGAGCCAGGCACGGGAGAGGGGGGCAAGCCACGGCCGTCTCGGGTCCTGGTGAAACAATAAGTCATATTGGTTAAAGTCGACAACAGTTCACAACATGTACAGTAAACTACGTTTATAACGAACACGCTTATAACGAACTGACGGATATAACGAACTTATTTTTTTTGTCCCGGCCATTTGCTGTACATTTGCTGTATATATGCTGTATATGTTTACAACGAACTACGGTTATAACACTAAAATTAGCGGTCCCTTTGAGTTCGTTATAACCGTAGTTTACTGTACCATACTTGAGATACGTTATATTGCAGATGTTTTAAAATAGTGTATTTGCGATATATCTTATTACAGATGCGGTTCTGGAATTAATACTTTCGTGGATGTACATCTTCCCGAGGCAAGTGAGTTAACTGACTATAAAAGTCCAGTTTCCACACTTGCCGAACTAGGCTGGTATTATGGAGTTACATTTTGGCTGGACTAACGAGTCTATGTATAGTCCAATCAAAATCGCGCACTGAAATCGAAATCCGGTTCGTAAAGTGTCATGCAGATTTCGGTCGACTGCAGGATTTGCAAAGCATGTGCACCGCTAACTCGTTGTCAACAGATATTTTCTAAATCTTTTCATGCTTTTAATGAAGGTGCTCACGTGATTTGATGCACTTCGCGATGTAAGACTCGTTTTATCACAATATAGATCTTGATTATCAATCAGATCGCCTTGACTGGGCGCCACCGTTTTGTTTGAAGCAAATGCAAGTGATACGAGAGGTTGAATCTGATTGGTCAATAGGAGGGGCATAGAAATAACATAACTCGTAATAGCCACTGGTGGCGCTATGATCGAGCCCAGGAATTCCAGCTTAGTTCGGCAAGGGTGGAAACTGGACTTTTAAAGTCAGTTAACTCTCTTGCCTCGGGAAGATGGTGGATGTATTGATAAATAATGGACTGATTTTACCAAACAATATATAAATCCAGGTTTCTTTCTCGGAATAGTGTGCCCTTTTAGCATGAGCATGAGGTTAATTTCGGGCAAAATAACGGTTACACGCATGTTTGACAGTGCCAAAGAAGAAATGGTTATTCGATGGTGATGTATTTGAGTAAGTGAGTGAGTTGGGTTTTACGCCGCTTTAAATAGTATTCTAGTTATATCGCGGCGTTTCAGCTTAATGTGGGAGGAAAGCCCGAAGTGATGCAGGTTTATGTATTTGAAACAGGTATCATATTTGTTTTTTGGACCTTCACTTTGAAGTGTTTTGGATACTGTTTTCAGTCCAGTAACGTTTTGATAACGTTTGTAAATATGGTCAAATCCAGTTTCGAGTGGATACATCTATTGTGCTGATGGTTTATATATCTGCCATTTTCAACGTCATTAAAGAAAACCTGATTAATAATACGGTTCCAGTAACTGTATTTCCTTTATTACGAAAACGGGACCTCATTGACTTCATATTACTGAACAACAAAGCCAGTATTATAAGCCGACTCTACTAGTACTGGTCAAGAGAGTTTCCACATATCATTGAGTCAGCCGATTCTCCAAAACTTTCGTATAAGTGGCGAAGAGGAAGGTCTCTGTTTAGTTGAATTCATGGCCTTAAAATTATTAACATTACATGTCCTATTTAAAGAGGAAATCCGGTACAAAAAAAATCCACAACGTAATTCAGTTATTTTTTGAAGCCCGCCGTGATATTGCTGGAATATTGCTAAAATCGGCGTAAAACCATACTCACTCACTCACTCACTCACTCACTCACCCACCCACCCACTCACTCACTCACTCACTCACTCACTCACTCACTCACTCACTCACTCACTCACTCACTCACTCACTCACTCACTCACTCACTCACTCACTCACTCACTCACTCACTCACTCTTTAGTATTGTTTGAAGCACTGTTATACTGTGTAATTGCTGACTTACTTCTACATTCACACTTCGGACATCCAAATCCAATGTCGTCCGTGACAAACCCAAGGGGACATGTCTGAGGTGAGCACGTGAGAGGGGGGCAGGCTTCGGGGTTGCATTCACAGGTTGGGGAGACGCAGCTGTCCACCCTCTTGAACCCAAAGGTACAGAAAGTCAGAGACGCACACTCTGGTAGGGGAGGGCAGGAAAATGGCGGAGTGCATACGCAGACATCACAACCATTGACGTCCTTCTGAAAGGTAGTCCCAAATAGACAGTCTGATGGGCAGGCAGGAAATGTCGGACATTGAGGTGGTGTTGTGCATGTACAGACACGGCATCAGGCGACATGTTGGCACACTGGTGTAGATGGATTTGCGCATGTTCGTTCTGGCGGACATGTTGGTCTGTTTCCTGGCAACACATAAAAATACATAATTATTAATTGAGTCACATAAAGTCACAGAGAAGATACGAAAACGCTTTTTAGGAGACTAACCGTGTGTTTTTAATTGATAGGTTTCCAACATAAATTCGATATCATTTTAGTTTGTTTGGTAGAACATAAGGACAAATTAGTTTTAAAAACTGCAACCCAGGTCTCAGAACAAATATGAAATGGTCGGTCCCTAATGAGAAAGACTGGAAAAATATAGTTTACGTATGGCTAGGTAAAGTTTTAGTTATTGCAAAAGTTTAAGATATTGTGCAGATTAAAAGTTACTTGTGCAGTATAAACGTATCTAAAGCTTAAAAGTGCCCCTCGAAGTCTTAAACAGGATTGTGATCATGACCAATTGGCTTGACCCAGGATGTGAACCTTTGCGCATTGTGATCTAACATACACCTATAAATAACCGAAGTGGAAGTTCTTTTATTGACTTTGTAGGACTTTCTTAAAAAAGAAAAAGAAAACAAGACTCTCGACTGAAATTAGTAGTTGTCGTTTATATTTAAGGAACTTACTCTAAACCTACAAAAACAAATATATCCTTAAGGAACGTTAAACCCAATGCGGCGGTCGTATATTCACGGACAGATGCGATACAGCGGAAACGTCTATCACCTGTCCTGTCTAACCTCAGTCTGACGTCATGTTTTGTAAAACTCGCAAAACTTGACCTAAATTTATTATGAAGATATATTTATGTGACAGATCGTGGTGGCAATGACTGGAATCCTCGTGTTGCTACAACAGCTTTGATTTATACATACATTAACATGGCGTTATGACAGGTTGGTACATCAATACCATTCCAAAGGTCTTAAAATGATTTTTATGTATAACTAGAACTAAGATGGTATTAAGCGTGATTTAGTTTGTAACTGGAACTCCAGAGGTATTAGAACGGGTTGTGTTTAAAACTAAAGGCCCAGCTAGGGGTGTTATGTCGGGATTTCGTTTGTAACTGGAACTCAATAGGTATTACAACGGGTTGTGTTTAAAACTAAAGGCCCAGCTAGGGGTGTTACGTCGGGATTTAGTTTGTAACTGGAACTCAACAGGTATTACAACGGGTTGTGTTTAAAACTAAAGCCCCAGCTAGGGGTGTTATGTCGGGATTTAGTTTGTAACTGGAACTCTATAGAGGTGTTACGACGGGTGATTTAAACTAAAGGCCCAGCTAGGGGTGTTAGGACCGATTGGTTTAAAACTAAAGACCCAGCTATGAGTGTTACGAAGGGTTGGTTTAAAACTAAAGGCCCAGCTATGAGCGTTACGACGGGTTCGTTTCAAACTAAAGGCCCAGCTAGGGGTGTTACGACGGGTTGATTTAAAACTAAAGACCCAGCTATGGGTGTTACGACAGGTTGGTTTAAAATTAAAAGCCCAGCTATGGGTGTTACGACGAATTTAGAAGTTTGGTAGGAGATTTGACATGGCCAAAAAGATCATGAATGAGGGACATTATACAGAATATATATAAAGTCGGTGGAGGATAAACAGTAACTACCTTGTCATCCGACAACTTCTTAGTGATGCCTATCAAACAATTTAACATATAAACAACAATTACACAATGAGCGGAATACCTGCTCTGACAACACAAATAGCGATGAGCGGACCTTCCAGCTAAGGCATACATGAAGTGAGCGGAGCTCCAGCTCATCCTCAGGTCGTCCCGACACCAGCACTCGGAATACCAAGCTTGACTAACACCGTAATGAGTGAGTGAGTGAGTGAGTGAGTGAGTGAGTATGGTTTTACGCCGCTTTTAGCAATATTCCAGCAATATCACGGCGTATCACACATTGTACCCATATCGGGAATCGAACCCGGGTCTTCGGCTTGACGAGCTAACGCTTTAACCACTAGGCTACCCGACCGCCCCAACACCGTAATGATAACACACATATATAGGAACAATCAACAATGGACAAAGACACAATGACGTTGCTCTGGACATTGAACGGTTACAGGCCGGCAAACATTTCGAAAATAGATAGCCCAAATTGATGTGGCTCTCGCGGCAATGGTTATGGTTGCATGATTGTATAATGTGGCTCTCGCGGCTATGCTGTCAAAACATGCTTTGTGATTCTAACAGGTTACCGTATATAACAAAACAAGTCTTGTTTTCTCATTTTTTATTCAACAAGGATAACATATTCATCAAAACTTTACATTGATGAATATGAATAGCATATGAATATCATAATGGATTTAATGTCATTACTGCAGATGAAGGAGGTCGCCCACGTGGTCAGCATATTCCATCTCACTCAGGTGTTGGTTCAGGAGCTGGATCTTGAGGGACGCAATACGTGCATCGATTGCCTTGTACTTCTTTCTTCGTGAAGGTTCTGACCACTGGTGAGAGAGTCTCAGGACTGCAGCCTCTTTGAGTGACTGCTCTCGCTTCACTACCTCCTAGATGTTCGGGTGGCACTTCTTGGCAAGTTTCTTTATCTTGTTGTGCCACACTTCAAGGTGATTGTTGGTACGGTGGCCTTGGTTTTCGAAATGGTTCCAAATCTCTGGCATGAAGGCCCCTCCTTGAACCCAACTGGTTGTCACGTAGTCCATGAAGGCAGTCACTTTAGGGCCAGCAGGAGAGTCAGCAATGGCATCAAGCCACACATCATCCACTTTGTCACGAGGTAGTAGAGGGAGGGCAGCAGCTCTTCTCACCAGATTCTTCACCTCCTCATCTTCCTTATAGTCCATCACCAGACCTTCTTTCTGCACCCTCCTCCAGATACATTGGGTGAAGTGAAAGAAACACCCTCTAACTAATGTCCCAGGAAATACATCAGTCACGGCATTGTGAGCTGCACGTTCAAAGTCCAACTAATGTGGGACACTCATTTAGAGGTATCTCTAAAGAACACCACGCTTAATAATTTAAATGTGGGACACTCATTTAAAGGTATCTCTAAAGAACACCACGCTTAATAATTTAAATGTGGGACACTCATTTTAAGGTATCTCTAAAGAACACCACGCTTAGTAACTTAAATGTGGGACACTCATATAAAGGTATCGGTAATCGGATTAAGTAATTACCCGCTAGAATAGGTGAAATGCACTCAGCTGAAAATGTGGCTCTACCGGCAATAGCCATTTCTGAAATGTGGCTCTCCCGGCTAGACACCCATTGGACATATGGGCGTGATGAACCGACACAGTTCAGGCGATGGTCAAATAAGGCAATAAATGTCATACTATAAATAACAGTAATTAACGGGAAGTGATATGGTACAATTGTAGCCCAGGTTGGCTGACAGTCAATATACAAAGAAATGCTGGTGAGGATTAACAACAGGGATTAGCGTCTTATAAATAATTGCAATGAAGTTATGACTACAGGGTAATTAGCCTTTGGAATCGTGTTCTTCAGACAATGCTTGTCCCAAATCAGTCGCTGTTACACTATTAAGAGATGGTCCAAACGCCATGGAGACCACGGTCATGTTCCTCATAGAGTCCGGCATGGTGTGCCCAAAGCGATGGAATATTGTCAAAAAACAAAATCGGATGTGAAAAGTAGTTTAAAGGAGCTTAAATAATGGACAGGAGCATTTATAGGGGCGGACGGGTCAGAACAAACAAGCCTCATGTTTGTCTATCCGAATGTTTACGTACACTAAAATACCTTTACGAAATGGACGTCTACGATAGTATGTTGTCCGACGTGCCTCTGTAGTCGCCAGTAGCAATACTGCAGCTACTACGAAGTAAACTGTCTCCATTTAGTCGTTGTCGATGTCCCTGTGTTGACTAAAGGGTGTGTTGTAGTAGATGTCCCTGCGTTGACTTGAAGAGTGTGTCGTCGACGAGGTCCCCACGTTGACTGAAGAGTGTGTCGTCGACGATGTACCTGCGGCGGATGCGTGTCTCGTCCTTTCTTTTGTGCTGCGTCAGAAATGTCCTGCTGAACGCGGAAATGTTTGATATATTACCCCCAGGCCTATCATCCAACGTCACTCAACACATAGCTGTAGGCCAATCACAGGTCACACACACAACCAGGCTGTTGTTCCTGGACGTTGAGATAGTGTTTGTAATGCTGTTCCTGATTGTTGAAATATTTTTTATTTCTTTGTTGTTTAACGCCGCACTCAGCAATGTTACAGCTGTATGACGGCGGTCTGTAAATAATCGAGTCTGGATCAGACAATCCAGTGATTGACATGATTAACATCGATCTACGCTATTGGGATGCGATGACATCCATCAACCAAGTCACCGAGTGTGACAACCCGATCCCGTTTGTCGTCTCTTACGACCAGCATTAGTTGCTTAAGACCTATTCTACCCCGGATCTTCACGGGTCTATAGACACCCAGATGTGATGAGGTGAGCTGAAATGGGGTTTAACGTCGCGTTCAAGGTTATTGCACTTATTTAGTGACGTGCATGCACGTGTGTGCGTGTGTGCGTTTGTGCGTGTGTGTGTAAAGCGCGCGTGTGTGTGGCTGCTTATACTAGTCCGGACTGATGCCGATTTATAGTGCTAGCACACTGAGATACCATGCCGCAGTTTACCATGAATACCCCATTTACGTGCGTGCGTGCGTGCGTGCGTGCGTGCGTGCGTGCGTGCGTGCGTGTGTGTGTACGTACGTGTGTGTACATGTGTGTAAGCGCGCGTGTGTGTGGCTGCTTGTACTAGTCCGGTCCAATGTCGGTTTTAATACGCTAGCCCACTGAGATACCACGCCGCAGTTTAACATGAATACCCCACTCACGTGCGTGTGTGTGCGTGTATGTGTGCGTGCGTGTGCATGTGTGTGTTTGTGTGCGTGCGTGTGTGTGCGTGCGTGTGTACGTGTGTGTGCAGGCGTGTGTGTGTGTGTAACTGCTTGTACTAGTCCGGGCTAATGTCGGTTTCAATACGCTAGCCCACTGACATACCATGCCGCGGTGTTACATTAGGATAAGTATTGTTACATTCTTTACTGTTTCTAATGTTTGACTCTAGCTACATGTTTCCTCCAACCATCATCACCCGTCCAACACCCGTCCATCACCCGTCCATCCAACATTATAGTCCTGAGGAGTAATTTTCGAATTTCATGACAGGTTACAAAGGACCCAATTCAAAGATAATTTTAGACACCTTATAAAGATAAGAATTTTATTGTCAAAAACAAGTTTCATATACAGCTTTCAACAACATTACAGTATATTGATATAAACCACAATATAAAAACACCCGTGAGGATCCGGGGTAGAATAGGTATTCAGCAACCCATGCTTGTCGTAAGAGGCGACTAGCGGGATCGAGGGATCCGGCTCCCTGACTTGGTTGATACATGTCATCGTATCCCAATTGCGTGGATCGATGCTCAAGATGTTAATCACTGGATGTTCTGATCCAGACTCGATTATTTACAGACCTCCGTCATATAGCTGGAATATTGCTGTGTGCGGCATTAAACAATAAACAAGCAAGTACAATATAAACATACATGGTGTACAATTACACACAATTTAAACTATCAGCAAATGTTCATTGTGACCAAGACCAACCAATGGAGTTCTCATATTCAGTCACGTGTATCATATCTATAGATTAAAGATGAATACTTTCCATCTGAATGTGCGGTTTGTGTAAATGTCGCACATGAGCAAAGATTTTCCGGTAACTAATTCTCTATCTTAATTATATTATCAAATAAACCAATATTTTCATAAATCCAATAATATTGGGTAGCCTTTCACCCAAAATGGATGTGACAAGTTGCGACACTTATCCCTGAATAGTAAATTGTGAAGAGAACTTCCAAGTGATATTGTCAACAAGGCTGAAGAGGATGATTTCAGCTGTTTGTAAGCTATCCTTCACACAACATTTGAGAAGTTTCTCAAATGACCCAAACAATTGTGACGTTAAGTTTAAAACCAGTTGAATGAACGTTTGAATGTTGATAGGAACTTGCACTGTAGGCGTGTGGGATCAAGAGTTTAAAAAAATGTTTTTGACGACCAAATCACCACCCAAACTCACCAGGACATTCAGGTGAGCTAAAACTATTTATGGAAGTTTATATAGTTGGGAACATCTTCGCGAAACCTAAAACAATACACTATTTCAGTTTCAAGTCCACACGTTAAATTTGTCATCAGATACAGCTGACATGACCAATATCATATGAACCATGTCAATTTTGTACATGACACTCCCATGACACCACAAAGGCACCAAGTCATCAAGTAGGGCGCGGCTCGGCACGAAGCTTCTCCATCCATTCCTGCCATGACATCCTACACAATGACCCCTTCTCATCTAGTTTGTAGGCCGACGGTCCACCTTTATCTGTGAACACACAGCCATTTACCGTCCCGACTGAGATTTCGATGACGTAATTGTCTTCTCTGACGTGATGAAAAGCAACATCCACGAGGTCTTGAAGGTCACATGGTTGTTTCGTGTGAATGTTCGGTATGATCATCATGTTTTTTCTTACAAGGGTTTTTAACTCTTGTTTGTACGCTGTATGATCCCGAGACGGGATGGGACAACCCTTTATATCCACTTTAACTGTTTTGTAGCGATAATGTGTGATGTACATTTTATTAACACCTATATAGAAGGACCCACCAGAGCGGTTTTTGGAGAATGCTGAAATATAGCGTTGTAATCTATATGCGTAAAATTGTTCAGAAGCACGAATAGGAACATCGGCTTGACGTTTAAAGCGTTTGTCTACTCCTTCTTGAAGATCCTCCACTCCTCTAATCAGCGGAGGTCGGTGTCCTGCTGCCTGTTCTCCGAACAGTAATGTCCTCAGCTGGGGAAGGGAAACAGTCACACAACTGCCGTACTTGGCAATGTAGCTGTTTACACTTACTGTACATACACACGTTGCGTGAGATACCGTTATGATGACAAAGTCAGTATCCCCATACCATTCTCTTTGTATGACATGAGAATAGATTTCCTCTTCACCAATTGGTAGGGTATCAGACTGGAAGAACAATTCATCGATATAATTGAGGTTTCTATCTTGTTTGTTTCGTCCACTGATGTGACACAAGATGCATCCTCCGTCACAGTTTCTCACAGCAGAAATCTTCCTCGCCATTTCAGACTGTTTCCTTTTTCGAATTTCTGGTTTATCAAAAGTTACAACATTGGTGTGGATAACAACTTGATTTCTTTTGACGTCACGCTTGTTTCGACATTCATGGCAACCTGTAAGAGCAAAACAAGAGTGTTTTTTTGACAATTTGAAAATGTAATAAGGCAGCAGACGTCACTGAGCGTAACTTATGGTTACTCCGCCTACAGAGGAGCCGACTCGTAATTGTCAAAAAGGTACGATAATGAGCAATCTAAATTATACACACGTAAGAAAATAAAGAGTATATATAAACAAGGTATTTCTTGTGTAAGCAATAAATAAACAAAAAACAAAACAGTCCAGATATTTGTGATCATCAAAACTCCTTTATGCACACAAAATCATTCGCCGCCCAACAACTCTTATGCAACCTTCAACGTAGTCATAGGCGACACACAACAGCAGTATTTGTGTGGTCATAATGACGTACCAGTTACCGACACTACATTCGTCACCACTCGCCCCTTTCCGTAACCTGCAAGAAAACACGTCCCCGATCGCATTCGTGACAAACTCGTGTTATTCCGGGACAAGCCGAATAGCGACTCGTGCCCCTATCATGGCCATTTTTGCGACCGGGTTCCCTTCTTTGCGCAAACGGGCATACCTAAAACAATTGTCAACATTCATCGATAGGGGAACGAGTCTTCTTGCAAGTTACGGAAAGGGGCGAGTGGTGACGGATGCCCCGATCGATGAATGCTATATGCGAAAATACGACAAACCAATCAGAATGCGCGTATGATTTCAAGGTCTTCGTCAAAGAATCCCTCAGAAATATTTTTTGATTTTACATATGTCTTGCATAAAAAATATACCCAAAACACAGTTAAATGTACTTAACTATACTGTATAATTCCGCATGTTCCGATGTGTTTTAAATTACATCTGAAATATTTAATATAATATAAGGGGAAATATATGTGAACCACTACGCAACGAGTTGACAATTGTTTTAGACGGAACCCGGTCGCAAAAATGGCAATGAGAGGGGCACGAGTCGCTATTCTGCTCGAATAGCTGACATTTGAGGGTGACGTAAAATGTAGTCATAGGCGACAACAACTATGCTGTTTTTGACGTCATAATGCATGTCAATATTTGAGGCGTAAATACAATAGAACAACTAGAATAGAACTACAAAGCGATCTTAGCGCTAAGGTGATTGTAACTCCCATTCTTTAACACTGACTTACGACAGTCGTAGCGCTAAGATTGCTTTGTGGAACGGGGCCCTGGTTTAAGTTTAGGTTTCAAAAGTCTAATGAACATCTAAACTCAACCAAGAGACTCCAATCGGGAGACTTTTGCACACCAAGCGGCTAGCCAAGGCTAGAAAGTATGTTTTTTAACAGTCTTAAATCCGTTGTTACGGATTGGCATGTTCACTAACAGGCGTAATAAGCCCACCATGATAAGGTGCAGTGTTTGTGCTCTAAAACATGTGTCATATACAATAAAGGTCCAATTGGTTATTTAGTGACCGCCTAGGAGGTAACTAAAAGCTAAGGAAATTAAACATTTAGCATACAAAAATACATGGGGGCAGTCCCTCAATCTCAATCTCGTCATACAAGGGAATACAAAAATCCGATCTATTTAGTCGCCTCTTACAAGCAGCATTACTTGCTGGAGACCTGTTCTAAACCGGAATGGCCGCGGAATACCCTTTTCTCACTCACCATCTACATCTTCATCTCTTAATCTAAAACACAAACATTTCAAACATGTAGAATACAATTATAAACAAAACATTGCAATATAGTTACTAAAGACGCTGAGTCACATGGAATTATATCTATTACTTACAATTTT